TTGATTGGCAGTGGGGGGGTCGCCTCCCCCCCTTGAACACACACACACACACACACACACACACACACACACGCACACACACACGCATGCGGGGCAACTGCCCGTTTATTTTTTCTAGGAGTTTCTTTTTTTTCTCTTTTTTTCTTTTTTTTCTTGATTTTCCTCGTCTTTTTTGTTTCTGATTTTTTAAAAATCCTTCCAAACGTTAAAAATAAATAAATATATGGGGTTGTAGATCTACAACCCCGTTTTTTTTTATTTTTTTTTTGGGTTTTTTTTGGCCCCCTAATCACCTTCGTACGGCCATCGTCCATACCGCCGTACTGGCGTCCATACGTCCGTACAGACGGGCCGTACGGAGACCCCCCGTACGACGTACGGGGGACGACACAGAATGGGAGACTTCGGCTCTGCCACAAGAAGAAGACTCTCTCTCTCTCTCTCTCTCTCTCTCTCTCTCTCTCTCTGATTTCTACGTGCCCGCTTGTTTACCCCAGCGCGCACATTTTAATGGGAGACTTGGGCTCTGCCACCAGAAGAAGGAGAAGGAGGAGGAGGAGGAGGAAGAAGAAGAAGAAGAAGAAGAAGAAGAAGAAGAAGAAGAAGAAGAAAGTTTGGGTCACTTACCTTCAACGGTGGACGACGGGGCGGGGCGATGGCGATCCGAGGCGGGGGTGGACGTGGGAGGGGTGCAACGCAGGCGCAACCTCGTCCACTTTCGACGAAGTGTCGAAGTGACAGGTTGGAGGCTGGAGGCTGGAGGCTGGAGACGGGGTGGCGCCGGCGTCAGTTCGGCAAGTCGAACTTCGGGAGGTTTCCAGCCTGAATGTTAAAAAACTGCAGCCTATCTGGGCCGCAGATCTCACGAGATCGACGGCCCAGATTGGCCGCCAGTTTTTCGGCTTTCTGGCGGGCCTACCGGGCCCGGTTTTAATTTTTTCGGGGCCGGGAGGCCTCCATGACCCGCATGGAGGCCTCCCGACCCCAAAAAAAATTCAAACCCCTCCACGATCCACGCGCACAAAATGCCACTGGGGGGGAACCGGCACGGTCCACCGGCCGGTACTACCGGACCGGTTCCGGTGGGGGAAGGGGGACCCGGTGGGACTGGAAGTTCAGCCCTGCTATAAACTAGTATAAAGCTGCAAAGGCTGAGATAGACAAAGTACGGAGTACGTGGTAGCAACTCCTAGCAGGTCATAAGTGACAGTATGTGCAAAGTGCTCTGCCATATCACATCTCGCTTCCTGACGAATCTCCGCAGGACTCGGAGGAAGAAATGCAAGGGAAAACCTTTCAGTCTCAGTTCCCTCTTCAGACTGATCACTCTCATGGGAACTTCTGACCAGATCGAAGTATTTCGGTCGATACGGTGTAGGTAGCTCACAACGATTGCACTTTTCTGTCTCATACAGCCCCAGGACAAGTAGGACTGCCCTGTTTGAATGTCAAGCTTATCCTTCTTCCACATACATTCCTCATTTTTTGACATCTGCACACAGCCCACATATGGGTAAGTACTCTCAGTGTGTACTTGGCAGCCCAGAAAATCGAATATTCCTGAACCGTGATCCGTCCTCTTAAGGGTCAGGTTGTCGGGGTAACATCCCTCAAAACCCCGCTGGAATCTCGTAATCACTTTTTCCGGGCAATTGAGCATAAATGGGGCCACATCATCTATTAGTCTAATCCCAAAAACATGCCTCCTCAAGTTACCCAGACTCTTCAGAAAAATGAATTCCGCATGAGCGCCAATGATGCAGGCCAGTGGCGAGCTTGTGCTCTTCCCCATAGGGATGCCGACTTCTTGTTTTAACAGGATGCCCGTCGCATAGGTGAACGTGTGCTGGAGCTCAAGTTCCATGAAACTGACGATGTCCCTCAAATTGATATTTTTCCAGTGATCGCTGCCAGTAGTGTGTCCGAAAGAACAGCCTCTTCCTCTGGTATTCACCCTCACGAATTCCCTTTCTTTAAACAAGTGATACTCAACAATCCATACGACTGCGTGAATAATGTCGGCATGTGGTAGACGGTTGAACATCTCTTTGACGTCATAGGACATCGCAGTCATTGCGGCTTCCCTCCTTCCAACAGGCACTTTGTTTATGCAGTTTAGTCGGTCCGTCAGCTGGGAAACGACTTGCAGATTAAAATGCCAGTCTCTTGGTAAGGAGAACAGCAGGTGGTTCAACTCTTTCACCACCAGCCTCCCTGTGTGTACCATTGGTTCACCGAAGGTGGGGCAGATCGGCCTATATCTGCTGACATTCTTTTGCTTGGGAAACACGTAGGCCGTTCCCAGATATCCCTTTCTATCCCACTTAACCAACTGCTTCAAACCTCTGGTTACCATGTCCTCATGCATCATACGTAACGCGTTTTCCTCTGTTCCCACGACCACACTGTACCCACTATTCAACACAAAGGAAGACATCATAGCATCGAAGTACACTTTGGGGCACAACACTAAGGTTTCTCCTGGGTTGCGGTCCAGAGGGGTACAAACCAAACCGTCTAATGACCTCTTAACCTTCAACACGTCTTCCCTCGACAAGTGAGATTCCATATCAGACTCCCTATTCACAAAACAAGCATCTAAGTCCTTCAAATCCACACTGATTCGCTCACCGCGATGATTTACCCACTGGTCAAAGCTCAATTCAACCTCCTTCTGCAGCGATAGAGTCCTGTCGACTATCTCTTGAATCGGTACATTCTTCGTGTTTCTTAGTAACGGTTGTGTCTCACACAGGGTGCTAAGGCGGAAGCACACGTGACCTTCCTCACGATGGAAGGGTCAACCTGCACAACTGCAGGTTAGCACTTCTCGAGTGGCGAAGTGCCGCTGGTTGAGCAAAAGATCCCCCACAGACTGGTTTTTAGTCCAGACCAGGCGGATCTTCTTACATGCGCGTGCTTTAAAACACGGTGGCAGATCACAGTCCATTACCAAGTCGTTAAGAATCTTCCCCAATTCCGACAGACGAATCCTATCATCGAATTTCACTCGTACGACTAGGTGGGCACTCAAGCTCAAATCAAACCTATTTTTGAAAACTCTTTGCAGCAAACGACGCAGGTACCTCCTAGGCTGTGAGTAGATTTTTGGCTAAAATCCTTAATCACGTCGTACAACCGTAACACGGATCGCATACTCCATCCATAGATGTCGTTCAACTTCCTCGGGTTCTTCAGAATCCCTATTAAGTATTAACACCAATTTTAGTGCTCGACGACGTGGTTTCCAAACATCCAAATGAGTGATCTCAAATCTCCCTCCCGATCCGATTAAGCACTTCCCATCTTTCAGCAAGATCTCATCACCGGCAAACTTAACCTTGCTCTCCCCGAACCCTTTCGTAATCTCTTTCCAGGGTGTGTGCCATGTATTCCCACCATCAGATTGGAATGCAAGGCATGTAATCCCTCTCGAAAAGCAATCCGAAAGGAAATTCCCGAGATTGACGAAACTACCCACGTGCTCGTCACTCATGAAGGTGTGACAATCCAACAAGGTTTAGTCGACTGTGGGTTCGAATTCCATCTTTCCCTCGCCCCCTTCCTTGTTCTTGTCTTTCTCCTACCCTTCGTCCTAGACCCAGAGGTGTCAAGTACAGGATTCCACTGCCTATTGTACGTACGTTCCAGATCCTCAAGTTCTTACCATCGATAGAATCGATGGGAATCAGGACGTAGTTGCTAGTACCAAAACAACTCATCCATTGGTAAAAATGTGTCTGAGACTTGGATTTGCAAGCATATGAGGGTTCACCCCCAACGTATATCGACGTCCTGACTCATCTTCCCAATGTACTGTGAGCGACAAGAAGGAGACACGGCGATATATACCACGTTCTTTAAACGTAGAAACTCGAGCCCATACTTCTCATAAAGTGTTACCCATGACTCAACGCATTTCCTATTCCAACGGATGCATCCGGCAAGCGATAATCTCACTACAACCAAACGCAGGAGTTCCTCGATCTTACGATTATACCTAGATGACTTACAACGAAGGTCGACCAAAATATCGCAAAGCCTCCAATACTCGGCAATACCATAGCCATATCAGTCCACTTCCTCATCAACATCTTCTACGTCTTCAACAGTTGTAACTTCCTCTTCCTCCAGTTTCTTCTCACCTTTGTCCTTTTCGTCGTTCTCCGTACCGTATGCGATGTACGTCCGGTGTTCGGCGAGGTTGAAGATAGCATCGAACTTTCCGTTGTGGGCAACGCCCTCCTCATTGCATAAATTTTGCAACGTGATGGCATCCAAATTCTTCAACTGCCGCATGCCTTCGTCCCGAAACTTGTACCTCCCAACAATCCCAATGCTTGCTGGGATCTTCCTTTTCACGGCTGACGTAATCTTCTCCTTGGTTGCAGGTGACAGGTTAACCTTGGACTTTGTCTTAGATCTGGTTAATCTCAGCGTCAGATTCGCTAGCTTGAGGATCCCACGCTTAGGGGTCCGTTTCGGTTTGCGTTTCGCCGGCAACTCCATCGGCGGACTATCCTCGAAGGTAGGTTCCTGTCCTCTCTTTCGCTTCTCGTAGATAGTCAGCTTTCCCGTCCGTCCACGGATCTACTCAGTTCCAATATGCACGAGTTCATAGTCGGAGAAGTACTCTTCATCACTAACGTAGGTAACCTTCTGTTTTCCTTTCTGTTCGAGTAGCTTCGTGGCAGCTAAGGCTTCCCGGATGTCTGAACTCTGCCAGATTTCCTTCATCGCTTCCTTCACAGTAATCTTAACTTGCACATCCATATCCTTCTTCATGGCCGCGGTACGCTGTTCTTCCATCTTGGCTTCATCTGCCTTCTTCCTGGCCTTTCTCGCCGCGCTTCTTTCTCCTCTCTTTCCCGCCTCTCGGCCTCTTTCTTCTCCTGCTTTCGTCTGGCCTTAGCTTCCTTAGCAGCCCGATCAGCTTCGATGTACTCCTTCATCGAAGCAACACTTCGTCCGATTTCTCTCATTTGGGACTGTACCTCCCGATCATCAGAGCTTGCTCCTCTGTAGTGCCTGCGTGGTGAGTATGAGCGCCCCCTTCTAGAGACGGAAGAGGTTGAAGGTCTTGATCCCTGCCATCCCGGTCTCGGGTTCCTGCACTGGTTCGAATGGTGCCCTTCTTCACCGCATGTAAAACATGTAACCGGGTCCCGTCTCTGACCTTGGTCCCGACTGCCTCCTTGACCCAGATTCTCCCGTGGCCCGTGGGTCATTCGCCATTGCTCCCGGTGGCAGTGTTTGAACGTTATTTGACCGCACCTTCTCCTCCGTCTTCGAGTTGCCAGTGATGCCCATTGCCCGCAAGTTGGACAGCAGTCAAAACGCAGTCTCCAGAAATTCCAGTCGTCAGCGACGATAACGGGTTCACCCCCTCCGGTATTCGACTCCGGAGGTGTTCACACGCGCAGTAGCAGCTTAAGGCGAACAAATAAGAGTTCACACGTCAGCATGATTGATACATGAGACAAAGCATACGTTGAATATTCAATGAAAAACATGGTTTCAGGTAGGGCCAACATGGTTTACAGGTCGGGTGTCCCCGACACCGCGTTTCGACAACCAGGGGGGTTCCTCCGGCCATCGCCCCTTCACAAAACCCAGCTTCCACTAACCCACTCCCGTACTCACTTTGCGCCATCATCCGGACGATAGCATTCCGTGAGTTACTTTCGACCTGTGACCTGTAAAAGGGAAAATACTCTCGTACGCTCAGTATTTATGGATCCTAAAAAAAATCCTACAGCTACTTACAGCATAAGCGCTGGGTCAAACCCAAACAGTACCATAAAAAGGCAGAGGACGGCTGGTCGTGGTGTCGGGTACACTCCAGCAGTCGGCCTAAATCTCTGAAACACAGTCAAAAAGGTCTCAGGTTCGAATCCCATCGCTAATGGACCAAAACATGAACAGTCGAAATGTGCAAAAAATGTACAAAAAAATAGGTCCCTGGTTCGAATCCCGCTGCAAATGAACCGAAACACCAACAGTCAAAATGTGCAAAACATTTGAGAATTACAGACTGATCTACGAACCAAGGGTCCCTGTCGGTGTATCCCGGGACTAGGTGTCTGCAAAAAAACAGGCCACCAGAAAGTCTGTGCTTTTTTTTTTTTTTTTTTTTAAACCCTACCAATGTTAGTGTTGCTGAGATTTCTGCTACAAGTTTTGTCAAACCGGTGCAAGTGCAAAATCATGTCTTTTTGCCTGGAGGCTCGTGCTGCCAGCCTTATCCATTTGGTAGGCCCAGCCCAGCTAAAAATAAAATGTACTCGCATACCAGTTGTATGTGAGCACAAAAACCAGGTTGTACTCCTTTGCTCTCAACCTGCGAACGAATTGTTCGCAGGTTTTTATGACTTCAAAAAGAAAAAGAAAAACATGGGGTGATGTCCCCCGTCATCTACTTCACAAAAAAAAAAAAAAAAAAAAAAAAAGAAGAAGACTTTTTTTAAGTTTTTTTTTAATGGGGTCATTGTTGGCCCTGGAGGCCCGTTTCAACGGTCCAGTCGGCCCAGAAACTGGGTACCGACAAATGGCCTGAAACGGGCCAAGACACCCTGTGGCCCTGTGGGGGGGTTCATCATTTGGACACTTTGTCAGATCTGCCCCCCTGAAGTTGAACAAAAGTGCCTGTCTGGGCCGTTTTGTCCACTTCGAAGTGGACAGCGAAAGGGAGAAGTGTCGCACATGGCAAACAGCGGCATGTGGCGAAGTGGCCACAAGAGAGAGAGAGAGAGAGAGAGAGAGAGAGAGAGAGAGAGAGAGAGAGAGAGAGAGAGGAGAACATTGAAAACAAGACGAAGTCCTTGTGGCTAAGCAGTGGTAGACATATTAAAGTTCAAGACTGTTAGCAAACAGATCATGATTTCAAATCCTGACATAGGCTTTCAATCCCACACAAAATCAGCTAAATTACTCTATCTGCAGCAAAAAGATGCCTCACATGCCCTCACTCATACTACGTACTACGTAGCGAACACAATCTTCGCAGGACTAAAATTAAAGAAAAGAAAAAACTGTAGGAAAAGGTCTTACGGAAATTGTTCCCCCTACCTGCTCTTTCTGTCCCAGTCGTCTAATCGTCCACTTAAAACCGTAAAATAATTGAAAACACTACGTAAAATTTTCCCTCCAACCCCCATCTCTCTCTCTCTCTCTCTCTCTCTCTCTCTCTCTCTCTCTCTCTCTCTCTCTCTCTCTCTCTCCGTGTGTGTGTCTGTGTGTGTGTGTGTAGGTGGTGTGTGCACATGCATGCATGCATGCTTTCTCCCTCCCAGCGTCTTTGCCCCGCACATAGACCGTTCCAGCAAGCTTTGCTCTCCAAGAAATTTTCCATCACCGGCCCCGTAGTCGGACCAGAAACCTGCTCATCGCAGCAACGAAAACCAAACCAGATGACATGGTGAAACAGATAAGAAATTCATTTTCCTAACATGGAAGGCACCTGGAGAAACACGGCATGACTGGCGATGTTTCACACACCTACCCCGGAGGCAGTTCAGTAGATACGTTATTGACGTTAGAAAAAGAAAAAAGAAAAAAATGATTCAATGCAACTCTGAGTCCGCAAACCATCATCAATGACCTAACCATGAGCATGCGAATTGTTCATTGAGCAAACACCATGCACTACTCTCCACCGATCATGAGCGACGGGCGTAAACGAAACCGCTTCTACTTTCGGTTCTACGGCCGCTTTAAGGCACCTTCTTATCGGAGTCTACATTCGGAATGCACACATCACACGCCCGGATTCAGGGCCTCGCTCCACCACTCACCAAATGTGCAAAACGAGCATATCTTTGTCTTTTGTTCATGTGGTCAGTAGGGGAGCGAGGCCCTCAATCTCATGAAGAAATCATTTACAAGCATGCTTCTTTTTTTTTTTTTTCACTTCTTCTTTTAGCAACATCTCAATTATGAGGAAAGAACAATGGACCAGCAAGATGATAGCCTGCTTAGAGCGGCAAACGTGTTCGCGGCCCTTCCCATTTGGGGGAACATGTTCGCAAGTTCGCGCGAACAGGTTGCGAACTCGTTCGCGAGAATGCGTTTTCGAGGCCCGCGAACTGGGTTCGCCTGCACCGGTACCGGTCACCGGCGGGGTTTCGGGGGCTGCTGTGGCGACGTGTGTGTGTGTGTGTGTGTGTGTGTGTGTGTGTGTGTGTGTGTGTGTGTGTGTGTGTGTGTTACATTGCACAGTCGGCTGCTGACTGACAAAGCAGCAGACTGTGCAATGCAATGTCTGCCATACACACACACACACACACACAATCAGTTTTATGCATGTCAGTCTTTCTTCTGTTGTTTGTCGTCCCTCTGATTTTTTTCTGAGTTTTTTTTGTGTGCCCAACTGAGCACCCTCAAGTAGTGCCAAACAGTTGAAGGTTCCTCGTTTGGAGTGCCTACTGCACTCTTATGGGGGCCGGTCGGTTTGGGATATCTGTCTTGCCTGTAGGTGATGACGGATGCTCGTTGGAGTGACTCCCTGGCTCAGTGGGTGGTGGGAACCAACAGTCTGCGGGGTTCAAGCGTGATGTGAGTAGGTCATGTGCCGCTTTGCTTCGTGTGGGATGTGTGGACGGCCTCGTCTGCGCTCCGCCGCTGCCCTGCTGCCTATCCCGCTTGCTTTGCATGCTGTTCCTTGTAGGTTGATGTGTTCGTTGTGTGGTGTGGCCGTGTTGTTGGTGTTGCCTTGCGCTTCGCTGCTCCACTGCCTTGCTGCCCTTCTGCTGGTCGTGCCTTCCGTGTTTGCTGCTTGCAGGCCTTGTTGGTTGGTTGCCTTGTGCTCCGCTCCACGGTTGCCGAATCGCTGATCTGCTTGCCCTGTCATAGCTTGCAGTGTGGTTGCCTTGTTTGTGTTGCCTTGTGAGTCACTACACGGTTGCCGTGCTGTATGTCCCCCGTGCCATGTCGTTCCTTGCAGTCGTTTTTGGCGTTGTGCAGCCGTGTTGCGTCTACTGTGTTGCCTGGTGCTCCACAGGGTTGCTGCCCGCTGCTTTGTTCCGCTTGGGGACAGTCTGCCTTCAACATGGGTCAAAGGGTTCATGACCCAAACCATCAAATACAGAGATTCCGCAGATTGTCGAGGGTTCAGCCTCCTGCTGAGTCGGTGCAACTCCATGCCTCTCACCCAGTATGCTTTGTTGTTTTCTGTTGTTTGCCTGCCCACCCGCCTCCCCCATGCCCTCCAGCCTATGTGCTTTGCTGCCTTGGGCTGTTTGCTTTGCGGCGTGCTGTCTGTCTGCCCACCCGCCTCCCCCTTGCCCTCCAACCTTCGCCCTTTGTTGATGCCGCATGTCTTGTTCCCTCGCTGTCTTTTCTTTTGCCTTCCCCTAGTTGTTGCGTATTGTTTGTTTCAGCTCACGGCTTAGTGCCTTGGGGCTCCAGTCCTTGTGTCTTTTTAGGGAAGTCAGTGAGGTCGTGCATACCCAGTCGAATGGAGTATTCGCTTGGACCAGGGTGTGATTCGTTCGATGCTGTGATGTCTGTCCTATTGGCATTATTTATGTTGTGTCTTATATAAATGTGGCTCGCTGCATCGTAAGGTGCAGTGGACTCATCTCACCAAACACACACACACACACACACACACGCACACACGCACACACGGGGGCTCTTTTAACGGCTCTTAGAGCAGGGAGGGGGTTCAGGGACCCAGGCCTTTGCCACCGACCCCTGGAAAAAAAAGAAAGGTTTGCGTTCGCCAGGATATCCTGCCCGAACACGTTCGGGCGAACGTGTTCGCGTTCGCCGGCGAATGCGAATGACGTGCTACACAGATGATAGCAATGTCAATGTTTCATCAACTCATGAACTTTTTTCTTTTTTTTTTTCGAGAGCTGCCTCTGGGGGACAGGTTTCTGTGGTTCCTCTCTAGATTATAACCGATGCCCGCAGAGCCCGCTCGGCCCGTTGATCACCGAAGGTGTCAGATTTGTTTTGCAGATTCGAGCGATGTTTTCCTTTGTGCTTCGAGCATGCGTGAGAAAGGGCACGCACTGCCACGCGGGACATTGGAAAAAATCCTCTTTTCAACGTTTCATGATTTCATCAACTTTCATGAATTTTATTTTTTTTTGCTTGTTTTCGAGAGCTGCATCTGGGACACAGGTTTCTGTGGTTCCTCTCCAGATTATAACCGATGCCCGCTGGGCCCGTTGATCACAAAAGGTGTCAGATTTGTTTTTGCAGATTCGAGCAATGTTGTCCTTTGTGCTTCGAGCATGCGTGAGAAACGGCGCGCCGGACATTGGCAAAAAAAAGGAGGAATGACGAGAAGGAAAGAAGCACAAGACATGAGAAGATGTTGATGAATGCATCCACTTTTTGACATCCTGTTTAGCTTTCTTCTTCTACGTAGCGTAGAATCAGTAGATAGTATTATAGCCTTGCATGATCAGTTAATAGATAGCAAGGAATGTTAGCTAGATGAAARAAARAAAGACCAGGCTTAAAAAAAAAAAAAAAAAAAAAAGCCGCTGTGGAATAGGAACCAGGCCTGACGCTCGCCAGAATGGATATGGAGCCGGAGCCATAAGGCTCTGTCTCGCGGGAAAGAAAGAAAAAAAAGAAAAAAAAAAGAGAAGAAGAAGAAGAATAAGACCGGCTCGGCTGCTATCCTCATCTTTCTGATTCCTTAGCGTAACCTCTGCTTCCTCATCTACGGGGGCACTTGTTTGGCCCTCTCGGACAGCGATTGCAGACACCAGCGCTAGGCAAGGGCAAACCTCTCCCAGCCTTAGGTGAAGCACTATCGATCGAGCCTTGTCGCAAAGGCACTTCGGTCGCCAAGCATGATCGTTCTTTGTTTTTGTTTCCTATGAGCACCAGCCCAGGTTGGTCAGACAGCAAATATTCCTTAGAGCCTTCCCTAGTGGTTCTGGCCTGACCAAGGTCTTACCCGAGACAACCCTTCTGACCCAACCCGGGCGCCATGTTCCTAGCATAGCCTACTATTATTGCCGTATTAGGGGTTGTGTTATTGTTCATGCTGAGGGGGCAAGGTTATCGATTCCGTAACCCGCACCAGTTCGCTGCAGGGCCGATTCCTGCCAGTGAAGACCTCCGGCCCATCCCCCCTTGCACCCTCAGTTGGTTATTATTAGTCGTGAGTTATGATCCCAGGCCAGTCCGGAGCCAAATGTTTCCACGGAGCCACCCTAGGCAATGTCTTACCTAAGCCAACTCTAGACCAATCTGGGCGCCTATTGGGATGACGTTACAGTTGGTATGAGTGCCACTCTGGAACAGTCCGAAACCGAATCCACGGAGCCACCATAGCCAGTGTCTTAGCTAAGCCAACTCCAGACCAGCCTGTGTGCCACTCCAGGCTAGCCCGGAACCGAATGTTTCCTCGGAGCCACCCTAGGCACTGTCTTACCTATGCCAACTCTAGACTAGCCAGAGTACCTATCCGTATAACGGTTGGATCTTATGGACCAGGCTAGTCTGGAACCGAATGTTCCCACGGAGCCACCATAGGCAGTGCCTTACCTAAGCCAACTCTAGACCAGCCTGTGTGCCACTCAGATATAGACATGATGAATGAGCACAGTATGGAGTTGAACCCAGAACCTCCAGGTTACAATATTAGAGCACTACCCACTGAGCTATTGAGGTTATTAGTCTGTAAAAGCGCTATGCCAGGCTCAGGACAAGTACGTGGGGTGCAACCTACACCAACCAATTGTGCTCGGGGGAAATTGTGGGCTGACAAAGTCGAACCCACAACCTCCCAGTGGCAACACCGGAGCTCTGCCCACTGAGCTACCACACACTCGCTTACCAGCTGGCCGTCTCGAAGGTAAGACGCCAAGCATGCCACAGGCACTATCGCGGGGGCGATGGGAGTTGAACCCACAAACTCCTGAGTGCCGCTTGAACGCCTTTTACTTTTCTTCCACAGCCTGACTGGACGAAGCAGAGAGGTGATGCTTGGGGAACCATTGCGAGATCCCTTCAGTTCTATCGTTGCTCATGGCATCCTCCAGGAGAGCAAAGCCTCACATGATGTGCTATATTTTCTAATGGAATGCTGTTTTCTTTCCTTCTCGTCCCTTTTTTTTTGTATGCTCTTTTTCCTTTTCTTTCCTTTTTCTTTTCTTTTCTTTTCTTTTTTGAATTAGGACCGATTCGCGAATCGTGTATCATCCTTGTGTATGGGTCAGGCTATCTTTGTCTTTTTTTTTTGTTTTTTTTTTTCCGAAATGCTAATCTTCTCTGTACATCTTTTTTTTTCTTTCTTTCTTTTTTCTTTTTCTTTTTCTTTTTCTTTTTGCTGTACATCAGGGTTCCACTCTATTTCTTTTTTTTCTTCCCATTCTTGACATGGGACCATGGACACAGTACACTTCACAGACTCTACATGGGTTTACTATATCAGGAAACAAAAATTTCCAAATAATGGGAACTACCCAATAATAAATGAGGAAAAATATTGAGAAAAGCAACGAAATTACACTCAAATCTAGGCTACCAGCCGGGCCGCCCGGGTCCCGGGTGGCCAGCCCGTGCAAGGACCAGGGAAGGTCCCAGCAAMAAAAAAAAAAAAAAAAACAGATCAAAAAAATCCGAAAAAAAAACTATGTTATGCAGAAAAATAAACTGAACAACTTTTGCCTCAGGTCACATCGAAATTCTGCACCAAATTTAGAAAAAAAAAGTAAAATTTATTTTTATTTTTATTTTTATTTTTAACTGTTTTTGGGTCGGCCGGGCAAGTGACCCCCGGCCACTCTGGTAGCCTAGACTCAAATAGAAAAACTTTGTTAACTGGACCTCTGGTAGCCTAGACTCGAATAGAAAAACTTTGTTAATTGGACCCTTCGAAAGGAAAAAAAAGGATCCGAGGAAAATGTGAGCTGTGGGGTGAAACGGAGGTAGCAAGTGGCTGGTATGGAACCGGTATGAGACCAGTATGGAACCAGTATGGAACCAGCTGGAACCAAACATCGGATACAGGCATAGGAAACTGGATGGAACGGGTATGGAACCGGTATGGAACTGGTATGGGACCGAGAAAACTGCGAGCTGTGGGGTGAAACAGATGCAGAGACAATGAACGAGGTCGGAGTACCCACCCCGGGCCAGAAACAGGCTGCCAAGTGGGCCGAGGAACTGTTAGGGGTGCCCACCTCGGGCCCCGCCTTTCCGAAGGCTGACCTGCTGCATGACTGGGTGCTGCCAGTAAGCCTCCCGGACAGCAGGGCAGGGGAACCCCCCTTGCCAGGCGACTAGTGCCACAAGAGATGGGCTGATCTTCTGTTGCGTCTGTTTCTCCCCACTTTCTTCAGTTGTAAAAACATGCTTGCCGGTTATAAGCAACCAGACTGAGGGGCCCCCAGAACACAAGGGGGGTGTGTTAAAAAAAAAAAAAAAAAAAAAAAAAA